GTTAAATGGTGTTTTAGAATATAAAATATTTTTGATCAGGAAGACGGGAAATATCAAAAATACATAATATTTATAAATATAATGCTTTGTTGCTCAATAATCGTTATCAAGATTTTATTTTATTCATATTGCCAATTATTATCGTAGAATTACGATAGAGTTCTATATTGATATAATATGTGATTATTTCATACCTGATTAATTTTCAATCATGCACTAAGCTTTTTAAACAATTTTATGTTGTGCATGGTTCAATTTCGCGAGATGAAAACGAAATGGTATTTCCATTAGTATTTGCATTAATGGCTGGTAAAGATGAAGATTTATATAATATGTGATTTTCTAATTTAAATAAATTTGCTGAAAATGGAATCTTTTTTAAAGAAAATAATAATTTGGAAATAATAACCGATTTCGAACAATCAGTGATTAATGCAATCAATACCGTATTTCCGTTTACAATCCACTCGGCATGTTTTTTCTATTTACAACAGTCGAACTGTGAACGAAATGCCAAGAACATCCATTCAGCAGAAAGTTGGCACAACAAAATACATCGTTTATTATCAACTCATCCTGGTATACATTCATTTATCTCCAACATTTAAAAAGAACAACATGAAACTGAAGCAACAATCGAATCGTTGATTTCAAATAAAGTATTCAAGAAAAGAAAATACAATGAAACACGGAATCAGCGTCGGGTTAAACTACAGGCAAAGTAATCAGGTGATTGGAGCGGCAAATTTAAACGATAAATTCAAATTTTTGATCAACATAGACAAGAAGTCAATTAATACTGATGATATTGTCCAAGGAGCCAAAAAACTACAACAATTTTATGAAACGGACATTGATAAAACACATTTACACAAGAATGTATACATTTCAAAACTTATATGAAAAATGCAACAGAAAAAAAACAACAAAATAAATTACATTATTTTTACATTTTTTTAGAAATCAGAATTTAGAAGAACTGTTTCCGAATGTTAGCATCTCTAATAATATACTCCTGTACGGCGGTTACTATTTGTTCGGTAGAAAGATTACTTTTGTGTCTCAAAAGAACTAAAACTTATTTAAGATCTACTAATGGCGAAAATTGATTAAATATTTTGGCTCTCCTGTGCATGGAATCGGAATTAATGTCGACAATTGACTTTCAAGACCTAACCGATACATTCGCTTACCTCAAAATCTAAACGAAAATGATTTAATATTTGACTATTGTATTAAATTTAAAATAATAAAGAATACTTTAACTAACAATATATTTCTATATGTATTTTGTTTTAAAAAAAAGTTTAAAATGAAACGGCGGCAAATGTCCTACATGTAAGCGTCAAATTGTTTAATTCGCCACTGCACGAAATAATAAATTTTTGCAAATATGTAAACGAATAGTTGATGGTTCTAATTATAATTTAGATGAATTTATAAGAGCTATTGCTAATAATCTTAAGTATTGACAATTATGATATTATATTTATTTTTTATTATAAAAGAATTATTAAAAAACATTATATATGCGAGTAAACAACATAAAAATAAAAATATTTCTAAAAATTTAAATTCTGAAAGTTTTATTTCCTAAAACATAGTGTTTCTAAAACTTGATATTCTAAAACCCAATATTTTAAAATATGACTTTCTAAAACCTGCCTCAATACTGAAAAAAGTTCGATGCCCAATAATTTTAACAGACGTGGCATTTTGTATGACCTTTCGATGGTAAAGATTGTCAACACTTAAGTAGGACTTTGATAAAATGAAATGTTTTTAGACAATTCAATCACTCCAAACTTATTTTATACTATTTACGAATCCATTGTGGCAATGCCCTATTTGTAACAAACGTATACCAATAATTTGTATTTCAATTATTATAATTTATTAAATAAAAATTATTGTTTTTTTATCGTTTCAGTAACTATTTATTTTTGAAAATATTTTTGACAAAATCTAAACTTCTGTATGAATAACCTTTTTCAGCTGACTAATAAATTTGGTTAAAACGATACCCCACAGCTATTAAAATGTTATAGCTAATGCTGAAAGTACCAGTATGTCAGGAATCCAAATGCGTGTTTTAATTATTCGTAGTTAAGAGTAAGATAAGAAGTTATATTTAAACTATTCACTCAAACACATATGGTTGTGTTTATGCATTGTAATTAAATTAGTAAAATAAAAAACAATATTTGAATCGACTTCAGTATTGGAGTACAAAAGCTAACCAGCTGAGTTTAGGCTCGTAGAAAAAATTTAAAATTCGAATTTTCCTTCAAAATAAAAGGTCGAACCACTGCTATCGTTAAACTAATCGACTTAAAATATTTAAAAGTATATAGTTGTACATACGCAGTATTAACTATACGCGCTGTTACACTTTTTTGGTCAAGTATTATCATAATACGTATAGGTAATGTTGTATACCAACTAGTTGAATATTGAGTCAATGTATGGCACAAGATAAATGAAAATAAAACAAAGAAACAACTCTCAACCTAAAGAAATCGTTAATTTTATCTGTAAAATTATTCAAATTCCTATTGATAAACATAAGAACAACAACAGTTGTTTAATAATAAAAACATTTCAAAGTAATTGCAACACGAACGTATGACGATGATAAAATATAAATGAAATAATATACTAATATTAGCTATAATACATAATTTAAAATTTACCAACCACTCGCATTTTACCCGTAATAATATTAAAAATTTTTACATAATATTGTATCATATACAATGATTATATATTTTTTTAACGGTAGGATTTTTTTTTTGCCACTTTACTGATCTTGATTATTATGTACTGATATTGGAGTTAATTGATAGAAACATGTTCCACGTGCAAGCCCCGTACAAACATTCATTAGGGCCTAGCCGGTTTTTGAAAAATATCTTTAAGGTTTTAGACCTGTTTCACAGCCGTACATTCATACGTGGCGTTTTTCAACTTACATTGTTTAATTTCATATAATAAATATATATTTACATGTTTATATTCGCCGATCGCAAAAACCTATACGGGCCCACGTCAGTTCGGCACGTATAAACTTAAATTCGAAAACGTTGCGGACGATGCGCGCGACTGTGAAATGGCCGTTATATGTCAGCAGAAAATTTCGACCGGGCCGGATCAGTAATTGTTGGCCCGTGCAGACCTCTAATAAGTACGTCGTTAAATAATGCGTGAATAATTACATCGGTTAATACAATGATAAGATTATATATGTAGTATATTTACGACGGTACGAAAAACAAACGTTCGTTAAATAAGTACCATTTAAAATTAGCATTGTAAGAAAAAATTGAAAATTTAAGTTTAAAAATTAGTAAAATTAACATGATTTTTCAAAAATCTTTTGATATGAAATTACACACATTATGTTCAAAATATGAAAATGATGCAAAAAAAAAAAAATTATTCTATTTAATCGAAAATAGGCTATATCGCGGACATTTTGAAAACCAATCAATTTGGACTTAAGAAGAAAAAACATGCAAACGCATATAAATCCTAGCCCTAATTATTACTTATTAATATAGGCCTCTAAAATTTTTTGGCCCTAGGCCCAAGACTATCCTAATCCGGGCTTGTTCACGTGTATGAAGGTAAACTGTTACGAAACTCGATGTTACTTAATTAGTTATTTTTATATTAACGTCTTGAATCGTGTTGATAATTTGTTGAACGACCTCTGTCCAACCGAATGTCAATTCAGATACGATTGCTGCGCATATTACGTATTTAATAACGCTTTAATATTATTTTCTACGTACCTATTAAGCAGGAAATCACATAGGATAAGACATCGATCCGAATGAATCGATTGTAGTCGTAACCAGTAATTATATAGAACAACAGTAGACCAAGAATTATGGGTGCACTAGTTCCGTGCAAAAGCGAATGATGGGGCCAATAGGATAATAATTAAAAGTGTTATACGAAACAAAAAATAGTATTTTGCTCATTGTACGAGCATGTGTATATAATTGGCACGTTAAGTAGAAACCATGTTTTGTTTGAAGGTGCATATAGTGATATCGTAATGGTACGTATAGTGGAATATTTATAATTGTTCCGTTTGAAGATTTCATGGCCACAATGGGTCTTATTCTAATATTGTATTCCTTGGCAAACAAATAAATAAAAACAAAGATGATAATGAAAATGAAATAAATGTCTTCCAGAGTCGAAACCCGTTGGCAAAACTTTTTTCTGTTGACGTTGAACGCTTCGTTACGATTTTTAGCTCTTGTTAACAAATCGTCGGTCACGATAAAAAAAAAGACGATGATAATAGATTTTTATGTTTTTCCTCGACCCACGAATATAAAAATCAGTTAATTTACAATGAAAATAAATATTTTGTCATCCGTATTAATCTAATTTTTATATTGGTTGGTCGAGGAAAAACATAAAAATGTATTCTCTTATTTATTTATTACTGTAAATTATAAGGAAATAAATAGTTATCAACAGTAGTGATTAGTAATCGAACGCATATTCCGTATTGAACAATGGTATTTATCGCAAATAGATAAAAAAAAAACATACTGAAAAACGTATTACGTAAAGTTGTAACATCGATGTCGTTATTACTTGTTAATATTTTAAATAGAAGTGAAAGAAGTGCAATTGTACATGTATATAACGTGACATTATTCGCGTTTTTTTTTTTCGGTCGACAGTGACCTCCTAGAAAAACTCATAATTCGATCACAAGTCTACAAAAGTTGGCCGCCCCTGACCCGTGGACAGAACATATCCGTAGGCAGGGACGGACGCATGCACGTGTTTAGGTAAACGCTGTTTTTATTTTTATTTTTTTAACACACGACGTTTTCATCACGTCGTCTACTCGCTAAATGTGTACCGTTAACCGCCTCCAGACGAATAACCGCGAGAAGTGCGCGCGCGTGCGCTCGCGTGTTCCGCTTATCGGACCGCTCGTCCACCACCGAGCTTCGCGACCCGCTCCGTTACACCGGTCGGGCGCGAGCACAGCGGAGAAAGGCGGCCGCGGCGACCAGGGAGAGTACCACGGTAGTAGAGCACCGGTGCGGCCAGTCGTTGCTCACGTACCGACCGGTGTGCACGCGTGTTCCGTACGCCGTCACTGCGCCGTCGCACTTGTTCCGGACACGCATCACAATCGCCGCCGATTCCGCACGCACCCGACGCCGGACACCGGCCGCAAGGGCTTTCACGGACATGCTCGGCGACCGCGAACACGTGATCTGCGCCGCCGTCGGGCCGCACGGCCACCAGTCGTCGACCGTGCATCACGTTCACGTCCATCGTCGTCGGGCTCATCCCGCCGGCCACCGTCACTGAACGCCGACATCGCGCGAGCCCGTCGACCGGCCGCCGTCATGACGTTGTCGATCGTGGCCGCCGTGGCCGCGCTGTGCGCGATCCTCGCGGACCCGGCCATCTCGGTCACGTCGCACCCGCTGCTGCTGGTCGTGTCGTTCGACGGCTTCCATCCGGACTACGTGCGGCCCGACGTCACGCCGCACCTGGCCCGTTTCCGTCTAGCGTCCGCCTCGCCGCCGTACATGCGCAACGTGTTCCCCACCAAGACGTTCGTCAACCATTTCACCGTGGCCACCGGTCTGTACCCCGAGACCCACGGCGTGCTGGACAACTACATGTTCGATCGGCACAACAGGTCCATGCACTACACGTACGAGCAGTTCCACTACAACGAGAACGTCGTGCCGATATGGGTGAGCGCGGGTCCCGTCGACGTACGGGCGACGAGTTGCGTTTAGTTCGCAGAGCCCTCGAGATCCAGGGGCGGAACTAGGGAGTGGAACACGGGGGATTCATCCCCGGGCGTAATATTTTAGAGGGGGTGTAATTTTTGTAATTATTAACAACCAATTTGATACTTTTAACATTATTAAACCCTGTTATTATTAGGTTAAAACTCAATAAGTATGATTGTATATTAATTATTAGAAAAAAATTCTCGAGAAGAGTATTTGATTATTGGTCTATGATAGGGCATAATTTTAACATTTTCCACGGGCGTGAAAATTCCTAGTTCCACTTCCGTTAAGATCATACAATAAATTGCACGTGTCCTCCTCCAACGCTAATCGTTAAATAATCCACGTGTTTTCGCGCGATCTTCTCTTCGATTCGTTCCTACGTGATGCTTGTTAATACGTATTATCAACACCATTCGTTATTTTCAAATACACCCGGTCTAAACAATATTGTATATAAAAAAGTAAGTTTAATCATTCTCGTCTGTGTTCGATTTCATTGAAATGTGTACACGAAGACCCTAGATCATTTCCTCCCTGTTAGATTAGATAGGTTCTGAATCGCTGTTGATAAACCGATTATTTTACGAACGGTAACAAATTAAATCCAAATCGATCGATTATGCAATACAAAGTATTAATCTCCTTATAGGAATTAGGCTATTCATGCTCCATACGACTTTTGAGAGTGTAAAAGAGCACAGCCTGAAAATTTTTTTTCTCTTTTTGGTTGTCCATTCCAATCAAAAATCATTATCAATAAAACTGCACTGTTCTATATAGAGTATTCAAGATTTAATTTAACAGCCATTTACTCAAACCTACAGAAAAATACGAAAAATAAAATCTTTAGATTAGTTACAGAAATTCATAAAATGTTCTTATAGTATTTTGCTTATTTATTAATTTATTCAACGAAATTACTGTCACGTAAAATTATGATTATCTTGTACATATGATACTAAATTTCGCTCCAAAATCTTTATTAAATACATTATTCAACATCTGATTTGTGAACCTTTGTATTTATGCTCAGTATGATAAAAAATACTAGCATCCGGTTTATCTATATATCATCAAGCAGCTTATTTTTCTACGGTACTTGTTAAAATTTAATCTTTACGTTTCACAAAAATTGATTTCATTAATTTACTCGTTCTATGTACAGCGTTTATAAGTTATAATATTCACACTTCTCATAATTCAATCCAATATTTCCGTGATATTATTATTATTTGTTGGGCTCGGAAGTTATAGAAGCCAATAAAAGTAATATATGCTTGAAAAAATGTGCATTATGCAAAAGAGAAAAATTATTTATTTAATAAAAGTTAAATAGCAATATCTAAAAACCTATACTTAAAAAAATGTATTATTGAAAACTGAAATATGGTGTATAACCGGTTGGCATTTGAGATTTTCTTGAAAAAATGATTAAACAAATATATTTTCATTATCTATGAAATACAAAATAGATATATGTTATATAATACCTGTTAAGTTGTTGAATTGAACCACTAATATTTTCGTTAAACTCGTAGTAGACAATAAAAAATAATAATAAATAACCACCAAAAATAATAATGAATTTTATATGATGTACGTTTTCTGCGTTATTAGTGTTGTGTTATGTAACATTATTTAAAATAAATTGTTTAAGAATGAAAAAATGAATTTATTTAGAAAATATTAAATACTCGTATAGACATTTTCTCTAAAATTAATGAAATATGAAAAATATGCATTTTTAATTTTCAATTTTTAAACTCAACATTATATAGCTTGGATTTTTAGCTTGGTATGCTATAAATCGAGAGCATACAGTAAATATGCATCTCTCTTGTACTTCTGAACCCTAGTATTTATATTGGTAATATGTACATTAAAGTCTATAATTCAAAAGTGTCATGTACATAAGAACGCAGGAGCATAGTTTTGTTAATTAATTATTATTTATAAGCAATATTTTATTCGTAGTATGTAAACAGATAATTAATTATCATATTAATTATTAAATTATTTATTATTGTTTAATATATGTATATATTATGTTTAAATATTAATACTCTAAACAAAAAAGTAATATTAAGTAAAACACATACTACTATTACTTAAAAATTAATAATTATTGTTTGTAATATTGTCCTTATCAACAGCTGCAAATATTTTTACTGAATATATTATAACCTATGATTCAAATCTAAAACTACCCTATAAACAGGAATAAATTAATTTTTTTTTTTCAAAATACTATTCTCATTATGTGGTTGTAAATAAACAATAGTTCAATTGAAATAAAAGTTCCGAACGTTCAAAAAATAATAATTGAGAGGAATACGTAAAAGTGATATTATTTTTATACTAACACAAATACAATTACAAATACATAATTTACAAATACAATTATCACTAAACATTACACTAATTTTTTAAGTGCCATAGATAGTAATAGAAATAAAAAAGGAAAATTTTATAGCATGACGTTTTTGCATATTTAATTACTAATTATAACAACGGTATTATTCTGATCTGGTAATTTAAAAAAATTAATCGCGTGCACCATATTCGAAGAACATAATTAATCATCATATTTTAAAAATAATAACAAATATCTAATTATTGTTCAATATTTTTGTATTAGTAATCAATGTTCATAATATTATAGAATGTGGTGCGTAATAAACAACTACTCGTATATGTACCAAAATATATTTTACTGAAGTACTTTTTTCAGCTTCTGATTACGATAGCATACATTAGCACAAATTACGATAGCATAAATCATCTTAAAAGTTAAGCTGATACGCTCAAAATGTTAAATATTAGCACCAAATGAAATGTTTTATTTACAGACGCAGAACGAAAATAGTGGTGGTGGTCGTCATAGTGGTGTGATGATGTGGCCTGGATCCGAATTTCCATATCAAGGCAAAACATCGACTCATGTTGCAGTATACAATTAGTAATAATATGTGTAAATCATGAGTAGAGCGTAGAATTTTTCGGTTAAGTTGGGGACTAAATTTTGAGGGATTTAAATGTATTCAAAGTACAAAACTTACAAAATTTAAGTCAAATAAATGAATAAATTGTATTTGTTACTTAATGTAAATGTTTTGATTTTTAGTGTAATAATTTTCTTAAGACTAAATAAATTATTATTTTATATATTTTAGTTATAGTTCAAAAAATCAAGTCATGAATGATAGATTTAAAAGTGCCATAAATCATGATATATTTAATTTGACATTATTATTCTTATCTTCTTATTTTTCCTTAAACATTAGTTATTTCCAGATTTTTTTTTTCTTCAATTATAATAATTATCGAATTTAATCATATAAAATGCAATGTTAAATATTATAACTGACACCTAAATAATTATAAGCAGTTATTAGGGTTATCACTGCATGAAAAATTAGTATGTTTTTGTTTATATTTATTTGTTGTTTGGTTTTGTAGTTCAACACCCTGGTCGAGTCGTGTGGATACAGTTATATCGTGGATTAAAGACGATAAAAAACCAGCAAATTTAGTTTTTGCTTACTTCGAAGAACCAGATAATACTGGCCATGTATTTGGAGTTGGATCACATGAGATAAAAAATCAAATCGTCCGAGTAGATACTACAGTCAAGTACTAATGATTTTTAATTAAACTTAAAATTTAATTTATAAAGCTACATAATTGTACATATTGCTACCTGAATGAATTAATTTTCCATAAGCTAATATTCTATATGAAAATATAGTGGTTATATTTGAATGTACGTAGTTTAATTATTTGAAAGAAAGTATAATAAATTAAAGCAATTGTTATGTTTACTTTTAAACTAGTACATACCATAGTTGATCTTGATTTATTCTTTAACGAATTAAATTTCAAAGGAGACAGTTTAGTATTGATCTTGAATTAAAAATATTTACTCACTTTGTTTAACCAAATATTTATCATTGGTAACATTTTATACTCTCGAATATCTCATCATAATAACTGATAAATATAGTATCGTGATTTAGAGCGAACCTTGGAATTTCCAACATCTTATACATTTTTATAAATAACCGTGGAGTTAAGTAAATTAAAATTACTGTTATTACAGCCTAATAGCTAAGACTTACAATCCACATAATATTAGGTTTCTTTATGTATACTTTAATAAAAATTGATAGAGAACACCCGAATATTTTTCCTTCTTCTTTTCACGTTAAAGTTATCGTGATTGCTCTGTATAATAATATAATTCCTGCTTGAATACTTCACATAAATAAAGTACACAATTAAAAACTAAACTATTGGAACCATATACTGTGAAAATCAGCGTTGTAAAACGTATGTTTTACAATATATAAAAAGAAGCTCTCTAGGAATGATTATTTCACTTTATATTTAGCAAATTATGTATTCATAACCAGCGTTGAATATATTAAATAAATTCAGACCACTATATTTCATTGAAATAAACTAAATATAATTTAATATTGTTTAAAAATAAATTATTTGTATTTAAAGATAATTAATGAAATAGTAATTTGTTACTTATGTTTAATTATCTATAGTTAGTGTATTAATATAATATGTTTATTAAATTAATTGACTATACTGATTTTGTGTTTATTGCATAATGTTGCGTCAGTAAAGTATTAAACTATAAAAACTTATGTGCAGTTTAGGTAGCGGGTTGATGAAATATGTACAATCATTTTTGTAGTATCTTATAGGTTATCACTAGTATATTATAAAATTGAAAATGTATAAATAACACAATTAATTTTGTTTTGTAGATACATAGTTGAACGGATAAAAGAGGAAAATTTAGAAAACAAAATAAACCTGATTCTTCTCAGTGACCACGGAATGGATACAGTCACATATGATAGAATTATATATTTAGACAACTATATATCAAATAAAACATGTAAAGTCGAAGTCACAGGCCCTAACGCCTTTATAAATCCAAACCCAGGTAAATAATTTGAAGCGAAAATCGTCGTTTTATATTCAGTCCATAGCATATGATGGATATGAATATTATTATTATTATTTTCAGGTAAATACGACGAAGTTTACAGTAACCTTAAAAATGCATCAAAAACACATGGAACATTTGACGTGTTTAAAAAGGAACAACTACTAGATCGATGGCATATGAAAAATACAGACAGATTGAATGGGCTGCTTTATGTGTTGGCGAAACCAGGTTATGCATTTTGGGACGAATATTTCAAAGATCTTCTGAAACATACAAGTAAGCTTAAATAAAAACTCTTAAAGAATAAAAAGTATCAGAGTACCTATACCATATTATGTCCTCGTCGGCATTGTTTGATTTTAATTGCATGATCATAATAAATGATGTCATAAACAACAAAACCTGTTCATTTTCTACTTTAAAATGCAATGATTCCAATCACGGCCTTGACTCGTTTAGGTAATGATTTGACCTTGTTTGATTTATCGATCTGAAAAGAAAAAAAATGAGACACATCAATGCGTTTTAATTTTTTTTTTTTTTTCGTAACTGTGAAGTACAAGAAAATAATTACATATAATTATTATACAATGTATAATTTTACAAAAATTATAAAATTTTCAAATAACTGTAAACGTTTTTAACGCATTCCGAACCGATTCGAAATAATTATCCCGACGGTTAATCAAAAACTATAATCACTAGTGCTGTGAATTCAATTCACTAAATAACCTTAAAAAATGCATTAAAAATATCAAAAAAAAATACAATATAAAATGCCAAAAATTATAGAATAAAATTAATTTAAAATGATTTTTAATTTAATTTTTATATTTACCTAAATATGAGTACAGGATATTATACATTAGTACATAACATGCATAAAAAAGTATTTATTTAATAAAAAAAAAATTAATAAAAAGTTGATTATACTTAATATATTTATTATACTCTACTTAATGCTATTCACCTGAAAAAATGTTTTTTTTTTAGTATTTATTTTGTTAAAATAATAAAAAAAACTAAAATATATTTATTTTCGGGTACCTCATTCATCTTTAGACTTTATAGTTTGATTAAAAATACTGGAAAATGAACTAAAAAAGAAAAATATGATCTAAAAATGAACAAATATGACCTAAAAAATTAAAAGTGTCAAAAAATGCAAAATAAAAATTGCATAAATGGATTCGTAGGCACATAATTCAAATTATGTATTTACAAAGCTACATTTTACCATCACCAAAAAAAAAAAAAAAAATTCACTCTTCTACAAATTTACAAACCTAGTAATAACCATTCGTATAACGTCCACAAAAGTATTCCGTTGTGAGCGGATCGAATGTTTTCCGGGTCCACGGTTCGGAACGTGATTCGTGACTGGTTCAAGACCGTGGTCGGGCGACGTTTGATGGAAGTCAACAGCTAAATAAACGCGATAAGAGATGACCGGGGCAATAATCGACGCGATTCCTTAAATTGCAGCAAAAGAGAAATTCAAAGCGGGCACGCACGGCTACGACAACGAGGAGCCACCGATGCGGGCTTTCTTCATGGCGTCCGGGCCGCTGTTCAAGCGCAACTTCACCGCGCAGCCGTTCGACAACGTGGACATTTACCCGCTGATCAGCCACGTCATGGACCTGAAGCAGTTGGCCAGCAATGCGGTGCGTCCCAACGGCACGGTGGCCGCCGTCGAGCAACTACTGGCCGAGCGTCCCGGGTCCCGGGCCGGTGGCCCCTGCGCCAAAGGGTCGCTGTCGGTCGTCGCGTGTGTCGCGTCCGCCGCGATGACGCTGCGCACCGCGTCCCGGTACCTGTGACCACCGCCGGTGCCGGTGGACTGTCCGGACGTCGTGCCCGTGTGCCTCGCTTCGTCCTAAACGCTCTGTATACGCTTTCTATAGTTTCCACCGCCACGGTTGCAGTTGGCGCCTGGAAACCGGCCGGAACTCTACGACGTAGGACGATATTAAGCGCGATCGCGGGGTGTAGGATGGCGACGGAGATGACCGCCGACCAATCGCACCCTCCGCACTGCTGCTCTCACGACGATTTAGTTTTAGTTTCATTTTTAATTTAGTCATGTAAATATCGTAATATAGAAATATCGTCTTAGGCGAGATTTTAACACTTACTGTATGTATCTTTTTTTTTCTCGATATTTTAAAAACTTATGCAAGTGAAATCGGATAAAAATATTAGATTTTATTTTTCATAGCCGGTTTATTTTCATTAAATATAAAAATGTATATGCTGTACGTTGTCAATGTGCTTTAAATATACCAGTCGCACTTACTTTACGATCCCTTTCCTCAGTCCCGTTCGGATTATCTCGACTCTACTGTATATAATTAATATTATTACATCGATTAAATGATAATTTCAATTGTGGAAATAGATTGACTTTCATCCCACGTGATATTGCAGAATTCTTATTAGTATATAATATGGGCTTAACAGTTTATGGTGTATGTAATCTCAGATATATGTTAGTGTGTTCAACCGACCAACCATTATTTTCAGCACGTATTTTAACACCTGAATAAATGATTTAACCACGTTACGCGAAAACACCACCGGCTAGTAACCACTCTGATCCAAAAGATATGTTATTATTCATGTAAATTATTTTGCTCAGAATGTCTAAGTTACCGAACGGCTAATAATATTAATAAGAAATATTATATTTATTATAAAATATTGTTTTTTTTTTTTTTTTTTTTTTTTTATAATAAAATATCGTTTATTGAATATTTACAATCTATACTATTATATGTACAATGAGTAAATTTGTTGGAGGATGACGGTGATGGGACGGTGAAAAGGGAAGCTCACAGTAGAGCTACCTTTACATGAATATTAAATTAATTTTGGGTATTGAGAAGATCTCTGGACCATTTTCGATTAAGGCATCAGGTAGGGTTACCTGGAAGTGTATTAGAATGAAGTTGAGATATAAGTTGGTTTGGGTGGCTTTGCATTTTGAAGTGGAGTCTTGAATAGAAATTGGCTGCAGTCTGGTTGATGGATGGGAAATTGAGGTTAGGTCAATAAAATATTGTTATAAGAAATAATATTAAACGGAGAAGTAAGTGGTTTACGAAAATAGCAGCAAAGGTAGTTATTATAATATAGAAACGAACAATCATAAGCTATGCACACATCAATGATGAGAACACTAATGAGTAGTCAGCAAATGATAGAAATAGTCACCAAGAACAAATGTTGAAAAACTGTAGTTTATAGTGTTTCTACGCCTGTATGAATGTAAAAAGGATGAAACTATAGAAAATCCGGTACAATAAAAGCCAGATAACTTTTATGAAAACATATAAAAACAAATTGTAAATATATGTAAGTGATTATAAAGAAGACAAGAAGTAACCACCAACATCAGCTACGGTATACAATATTAACGAATCAATAATAAAATTGAAAATATTTTTCATATTATTAAATTGTGATAAAAAAAAAGTATTCATTTACTGACGCATTTTGGTGACTCAAGATTTTTTCAAAAGCCATCTGATTGATTTGTTTTGGGTCACATTACCCTCCAATAAAACAAGGTAGAACTGTAATTTTTCATCTTTAAATTTACATACTTATATAATAAAATTTAATCGTTTAATATTACAAGCAATTATAATTTACAGCACTGTCTAAAAAATCAATTACTGTTGCGACTTCTTGTTTGAGCGTGTGCCGTATGATGGACCTGTGGACCAAGAGTCGCCAACCCGCTGTCGAAACATTGACCAGAAAACATTTTTAACACGTTTTTTATTAAGCATAAAATAAGTAAATAATTATGAACGTTACTAAATTTTCTTTTCCTTGTTTTTGTTACATTAAGATATAATTAAGAGCAAAAGTAATATTGTGAATTATTATTTTTAGGAAATGTATTATACAACAGTACATACTACAATAATAATTACAATCATTTTGAGAATAATGAAATTATTGTAATCCTGAAAGACGTCTTTTTTTTTTTTTAATAAGTAATTTTGTTAATGATAAATATTTCTTCCGAATTATATTAAAATATAAAACTAATAACTCAGTTTTTTATCACATTCACTCTTCCTTCAATAATTATTTAAAAATACTAAATTCTCGAAGCAATATTTTTTAATATTTTTTTCTATTTTGGTCATCAAAAATTGTAATCATATGATTTTGGTTCAGTAAATTGTTGTATATAGTTTAATAAACTGTGTAGAGATATTTTATAGATAAAACTATGTTATGAAATAAGAATGAAAAAAAACCAACTAATCGCGTGTTTTTTTTTTTTGTATTTCGATAAAACTAGTCATACAGCCCATATTTATAAAATCGAGTATTGAGAGATGAATGAAAAAATCATGAATGTAGACAAAATAATTATAATTTATATTAACCATTTTAATTATTTTATATTGCTAATGTTTGACTACAGTTATGTATTAAAAATTTCTTAACCACATAGTAAACATGGTGAAATAGAGCATTATTATGAATGGGGCCGGATAATTGCCATAATATAAGTGAGGGTATTAGTGTTATTGAAGCCCCTTCACCCAAAAAAATTTCATTTTTTATTCAGATTTAATAATTAGTAATAAATATTAATTAAAATAAGTAAATAAGTATATTTTTATATTTTTGTATAGCTATAGTTAAATAATAAAACAATACTTTGTATTTTTTAGCCATCGGCATATAACATATGTGGAAGCTAAGATGCATGCCATCACAGGACTTTCAAACATAACTTCATCTCTCCATCGATCAGCACCCGTTAATCAACCACGCGTGGAACTAAAAGTGCCTACGACTAACCATATATAACTTAACGGTACTATGGTTAGCGTCGAACAACTGCTGTTGCTACTCCAGTCATGCTGTGTTGCCATGATTTCGATACTACTCGAAGCCAGTGTTTCCCAACCTATGGGTAACCCATCATGTGTTATAAATTTTTTTGGTGATTAGTTCATAAACTAATGACTAGAAAAATACCTATTTTAAAAATCACTTTTCAATAAAACAGATAAAAAAAATTTTTTAATTATATTCATTATAATACATATAATAATTTTAATAATCTTTTTAAATTATAGCCATATTTTGTATCTATTATATTTATTTGCTTTCTTATGACTATTGCGATTTAAGAGAATAGGAATTTTGTTGATATATCAGTTATTGGCAAATGCACTAATGGTAGTCAATGATATCGTTGTCATACTTGCAGTGAGCCACGCAGTTCTGTTTTAGCGATACACGAGTAAATTAAATTTTCTCATTAGACACAAATTATAAAATGTCAAATTTGATCATTGATTTTAAAACTTTTCGATGGAAATTTACTATTCGTAAAACTACAGCTGGTGGTACAGTTCAAAATGTAAGTGTATTTCAAATTTATTAGAATATTCAATAGAACACAAAAAAATTAAATTGACATCATGTAAATGTAGTAAAAATAAAAACTTTATTAAATTTGAATTTCGGAGTTGTGAGACTAATAATACAGTTCAACTATAATAGTATCATATATGGAGAAATTTAATCTAATGAAAGTTTAAAACCATCAGAATTAAAAAAGGCATCTCGAAATTAAATATCTAAATATAAAGAAAACTTTGATTGTTAAGTGACCAATTCATTATTCAGTTATAAAATGCAATTAAAAAATAAAGATACTCTACTTTTTATGCTGTAAAGACATCATATTTATTAGTATATAAAATTCCTTATAGTAATAAAACTCATATTATCGGTGAGAATCTTATTTTGCTCACTACAATTGATATGTCTTCAGAAATGTTCAGAAAATAAGTAGAAAATAAACTAAAAATCAATACCAGCTTCAAACAATTTTGTTCAGAGGCACTTCGTCGAGATTAGCAAAAATATAAGAAAATAATTATTAAAAAGATAACTTTCAAATCCCATACTCGTTTTTTTTTTTATCCAGTTGGACGAAATTAAAGACATTCAAAATAAATCTATATTGTCTGTGTACATACAATATTATTTTTGCGAGAATATACATGAAGATTTGAATTGCAATCATTTGACCATAATATTTTATTTTCGTCTACCAATTACTACAGAAAATAATTGAAAGTCTACCAGTCATCATAAATAGCTTACATCTAAACTTAAATATATCCACGTAGTACTATCTCATTAAATTAGAACGTCAACGGTCTAAAAAATTAAAGAAACCCTTTATTAGCCATTTTTAATAATCACCATATAGATATCGCATGGATCGCCAAAATCCAATTCTAATTTTCTAATATTTAGTTCCTAATTATAAATACATATTTTTTAATTGTGTACAATAAATTGATAGATATAAAATATGTTATTAAATATTTTAATTAATAAATTATAAAATACCAATTATAAAATGAAAAATAAGTCTAGAAAAATAACGATGTGTAAAGCGCAGAGTACTGTAGTAGCTGTTTTCTATAAAATATAACGAAAATACATGGGAAACAAAAACCGACTGTAACGAATTGTACATTAATACGTTCGGAATAGCTATGTTAAATATTGAAGCTGTGTCTCTATGGCCGAGTTATTTATAAGTATGAATAAATATAAATTCTAGTACCGTTTACGGATCGGTGGCGGTCGTCAAAGCCCTACCACTATTGTCGATTAGCGTTCGGTAGAGGCAGTGAAAGTAAATAAACAATAATATATAAAAACTCCAACTCATTTATTCAATATAATTAATCAGTTTCTATTAAACAGTCAGTTCTCCGTAATAGTTAACGATAACACCTCTGACCTTCAGTCTGTATCTGCTCACCTAATCTTAGGGCTCCATGCATGGTTATATTTTATTCAACATCTACGTCTATGACATCCTTCAGCCACCTTGTACTAACGTAATTCTCTTCGCAGATGTTACGACAATTTTTACCGAATCGAGCAATATCAAAACGATAACTACAAACCTGCAAGTCCATTTTGATGCGTTATCTTACTGGTGCATCCAAATAAACACATTAGTTATTTTCAGTCTTCATAGTCCCCCCCCCTCATACACAATTAACAATTTATAACGGAAATATACTTTGAAAATCTTTAGTATATTATCTTGAATTAACATTGGATAAGCGGCTAACATGGAAGCTCCGTATTTCATACAAACTCCAACAAGCATACCATCGCCTCTTCATGTTATACCTTATTCTTAATAAAAAATCTTTTAATAAAATAATCTCATTATATAAGCAAATTCTACGTCTAATACTAACAAACGCATCTGGTCTGGGGAAAATATATCACTTTTCACCTGGATAAAATTCAAATATTCCAAAACAAATTACTACGAATATTGACAAATGTGCCAGGGCTTATAAGTAATGCAAACCTACATAAAAACTTACAGATCTAAAAAATCGAAGACTTGGTATAAAACTTCCAAAGTTCTTTGCTCAATTTATCTGGTTCACTTTATTATAAACATGAACATCCGCCTCAACTAAGATTAAAAAGTGGCTGCCCGCATGATCACCTCAGTTATTCATAACACACAATATGTTATCTGTATATTTGTTATAATACTCGTGGAATTTTCTTTATTATATATATATATATATATATATATATACGACTCCATTATTATTAATCTTTTTATTAAGTTAATACACTGTTATTATAATTTATATTACTTAAGTTGAATTGATACAATTAACATAAATGTGTACTATTTTAAACAGCAATGGCTAGAAACATATTATACTACCAATAAAAAAAGTAAAACCAACCTAATCGAAGCGGAAGAACTTGATGGCGAAAATTTAAAATGTATAAATGTTTTAAAATGTATAACCAATGGATATTGAAAATTTATCATACATACATTTTAATTTTTTTTTAATATTTAATAAGTATTGAATAAACATATAATTTGCTGCGTAGGATATAAAAACTTGATTTGCAAAATGTTAATCTTCTGTAAAATATTGTTATGGTAAATGAGAAATAATTATACCTTTATAAAATCTGCCTTTATACGAATATATACATTTTAGTCGAGTGGCGCAAGTTATACATTGAGAAAGTACGTGGTAAAACAAAAAAATATTTAACTATTTTTTTTTTTTTTTTACGTCCTCAGGCTTTATTATTTAAAAGACTCAATAATATTTATAAATACATTCAAAAGTTTTATATACTTATATACTAGACATTAATATATACTGTGCACGTTGCTGGAATCGTACTTCTAATGAAGTGGCTCCTACAAAGTTTATAATATGAGTACACATGTTAATATTTTTTCTATTTTGCAAATTTATCAATAATTTTAAAACATATAAATAATTTTAATTTATAAACTCTTATCAATAATGTAATTATCCTTAAATCAAATATTTTTATACAATTCACTTTTATTAAAATTATATCTTAAAAATATCACCGAGAACATTCTCTATCATATTCACAATATCACATAGTTAAAGTCTCATACAAGTATAAGTAATAAGGACTTCTGAGCAGAGGCTGGAATCGAATCCAAAAGAACCTGTTCTGGAACCCGAGAACCCTTAAAATATTGAGAACCGGATCCAAATCAGAACCCTCATAATAAAACGAAAAATATTGGATGTAACAAACATTATTAATTATGTTTTTATTCTTAAAGTTTCAAAGCATAAATCAATTTTTGAGATATAATTTTTTTAAAAATTTTATTTTTAATATTATGTACTGACAGATGGATGACTAAAGACCAGTTAAACCAGTTAATACTCAAATTTGATCAGTACGAGGGTTATCTCGGTGGTGAATTGGGCATCATATCCTATTATGTGTAGTTAAAGCTTAATTTAATTTATATATATTATTGTTCTTCAACATGTACAAACTGTTTTTGGCCAAATAAATTATAATTATTTATTATTATAGATAAAAATTTGTATCACAACATAATGAGTTAAAAAATGAAATTTTATTTTGCATATTTTCTCAAATTATTAAAACCTATATTTAGGCTTTATTATAATATTATAATATAATACAAAACTATATAGCTGTTAAAAAAAAAAAAAAAAAATGATTGCCATATATATATTTAAATATTTAATATTATATATATATATATATATATATCAGGGGCGGCCAAACGGTCGATCTTGGACAATTTTAAAGTCAATCATGTTTGAATTTATTTTTAGAGACGAGCACGAAAATTAATCATGGTTGTAATTAATCAATTGTAGATAAGTTTTAGCTATATAATATTTATCTTTTATTCTTGTTTCATAAATCAAATGTTTATCGTTCAGGCATGTTCATTTCACTGTGTTCATTCGGTGTCTGTTGTATTCAATTTATAATAACGTATTTAAGTTATTTAAAATGTATAATTATGAGTGCACATAAGAAACAAAAAAATGCATCATTTTAATCAAGAATGGGAAATAGATTTTTTTTTTTACAATGCTGAAAGACATGGGCATATGTTTAATATGTCGAATAACAATATCCACAACAAAAAAAGGTAATCTAGAAAGATATTTTAGAACCACGCATTCAAAGTTTGATATAGATTTCCCTCCTAAAACTGAAGTACGTAAAAAACAATTAGAAAAATTAAAACTTGAGATTGATAAGAAAAACAATTGATTTTTACTAAACCAGTTTTAAGATTCAAAGCAGCATTAATTGCTTCATTTTGAATTAGTCATGTTTTAGCTAAGAATAAAAATAAATTTCAAACTGGTGAAATAGTAAAACAAGCTTTTTTAGAAGACACAGATGCTTTAAAAATTTAAAACTTTAAAAATAAATCAGAAATTTTATCAGCTATAAATGATTTACAGTTATATCGTAAAATGTGATTGAAAGAGTTAAATCTTAAGGAAAAAAATTTAGTATAAATATTAAATGAATATGTTTATTTTTCTTTTCAATTCAATGAATTAACAGACATAACAGTACCGCTCAACTATGTATATTTATACAACTAGTTTTTTCAAATTTTAATTCACAAGAAGAATTATTAACTATAATCCCTATGAAAAGTACGCAACGAGGAGAGGATATTTATCAAGCTTATATTTATTTTTTCAATAAATCAAATATACCTTTGTGTAAATGTATTTGCCTTATTTATACGCGTGATAGAGCCCAGCTATGTATGTACAAATAATTTAATAAACTGTTATGAGTATAAATCCAGATCATAGCATACACTGGCTTAAAGGTGCTCAGTGCCGCAGAGCTAGAACTCGTCTGATTGGCCCTTGTTTCCGGGTCCCTTATATACCCGATGTCTATAGTCTAATGACGTGAGTGTTTGTGCTGTCCCCCGTCCGGCCTATGGCTCATGGCGCAGAGATCCAGGTCTACTGTGATTTCGATTATTTATATCTTATTTAAGTTTAGTATAAAATTATTGTGTGACATGTTTAATATGTTAATTTAATTTATCTCCACGGATGTGGTTTTGGTATACATAAAAATTTGTTTATTATAAATAAATTTATCTCCATATTTCCGCGTGCGTATGCACACTCGTGCACATAAGTTACACATATGCATAGCACTTATTTCAAACTATTATTATCTAAATACGCGGGACGCAAACAATGAATTGATTTTACTGTGTTTTTTTTTCTTTTTATATATACGTGTGTCCGTGTACACGATTTTGACGAAAATAATTGTTTCGACGATCACCGCGACGAAATTATGATAATATTATTTATTATATCACCACCTCTATGATCGACAGGAAACAGATATAACGAATAATTAGATCAGCTGTACAGTAGACTTGCGGTTCGCTAGTATGCTGTCGATCTCACGCAGTATCACGTCGTGCACCCATTTGATTAAGATTCCGACCGCGTTCGACGGTCACTCGTCGTGACTCGCTCCGAACTCGAAGCGTCCACCGCCGTCCACGATGATGTGGCCAACGATGGCCGTCATTGCAACGAGCTTTATAGCGGCCACGGCGGTGCTCGCCAAAGTCGTGACACAACATCCGCTTTTGGTGGTCGTGTCGTTGGACTCTCTGCACGCCGACGACGTGCGCCCGGACACGATGCCAACGTTGTCCCGGTTCCGGGACGAGCATGCCGCGCCTCCGTACATGCGTCCCGCGTTTCCCACCAAGACGTTCGTCAACCACCACACCATCGCCACCGGTCTGCACCCCGAGCAACACGGCGTGTTGGACAACTACATGTTCGATCGGGACCACCGGACGATGTACAAAACGTACGAGCAGTTCCATTACGACGAAGCCGTGGTCCCCATATGGGTATGTATCAAGTCTTTGCACCCGAATTATTTTTTCGGGTTTCAGGTGTTGAATATATTCGGGTGTTTAAATACCGCAATACAACATTTAAACAAACGTTTGGGTGTTAATAACCGTTATTATTCGGGTTAATATTGGTTAGTACGGGTGTTAAGTGGTCAAGGAAAAATAGTATTTTTCATAGGTGGAGGGCAGTGGGGAGGCTGTGCCCCAATCCACTGATGAAATATTTATATTTTTTGTTACCTACCTATGTAACAAAATATCAATTTCTTATATAACTATGCAACAGTTTTTTAGACCAAACTATCATTATGTTGATTTCAAGCAATGCTGTAACTACGATTTATTTTCGTGGAAGAGGGGGTTATTTTATATGTGTATGAAGCTTATAAATTATAATATCTATTAAAATTAAAAATACTCACACTATGTCCTACTCCTAGTTAGTGTGGGTAGTGCGGGCATATAGTATGCGACAAAAAACAAACTATTTTGTATTCTGCGTTTGTGTTTGTGGCATTGGTGGCAATCGGGGGGAGGTGTTGAGGGGAATAAGCCCCCGCAGAAACATTAAGTACACGTCTTAGCCCCCCTAGCTCTAAAAATTGTTAAGTGACTAAAAATACAATGCTTATTATAATTGTAAAATGTATTTTTAATAACCGAATTAAAAAAAATATTCTGTGATAAAAATTAAATCCAATTCGTAAGATTTTACAAACTTCTTGTCATGACTTGGAAAGATTGCAATTAATGTAATATTTATAATATGTATTAATACCCTTATAGGTTGTTTAATTTAATTAATTAATCATTTCTGTTTAGAATACCTACTCCAAAAATGTTTAAGATAAGGCACCTTAATTGTTTTTTTGTTAAAATTGTTGATTAAAAAATGTCAAATTGTCAAAGTTCGTAAATTGCCTTGTTGAAATAAATAATTGCGCACAGTGATCTTTATAGGTGTAATAATGCTCAGCCCCCCCCCCCCCCACAAATTTCACCAAATTTCCGCTTAAAGTTTATGGTGCGTGCACACACTAAAAACGCACTAACTAGAACACAGCGTAATGAAAAAATAATAATAATTTGTACTTATGAATGTTACGATGGAATTATTACACCAAAAAAAATTGAAAATTCACGCCATAGACATAGGTACTAAACGCCATACACTGAAAAAATACGAATAACGCGAACAACAATTTAGGTAATCATACGCGAGATATCAATTCAATTTCAGACTTACAGTATTGCAATAAATAACGACTCGGTGATTCATAAAAGACCTATTACCTATTAAATTATAATAATACGACGTATCCGCTTGGGATGATTTTAAAAATAGTATCCCAATTGTTTACACTTGAACATTCAACATACCATACCATTCATACTCACCTGTTAATATGATTATTATTATTGTCTTTATTTAGATAAATTTCGATTAATTTATAATTTTGTATATTATTTGTGAAATTATTCTTGTGAATAATAATTTTACTATCAAACAGCTAATGACAAAATTGAAATAACCACAAAAAATAAATACAAAATTATATGTCACATAAAGATTGTAAAATAAAAAATTATTCCGGTTTCGGGTTAAAATTAATATTTTATTCGAGTTTTGGTTAATTCGGTTGTTTAAAAAAAAAATCATTCGGGTTATATGGGTTTTGGGTGTTTGACTTTTTAAGGGATTTTAGGGGTGTTACGGGTTCGGGTTGATTCGGGTGCAAAGCCCGGGTTTGTATGATGACCAGAACGGATCGCGTACGACTCGTTTTCGTCCCAGCCGAAACCTAGAACTGTTGCCGCGAGACCAGTGGTAGGTTATCATATATCATATTATCATGGATAATATCGTTCTATGTGAAAAGGTTCTAAGGTACTGTTTAGTAATACCTACTTATAACCAGGGCAAGAGTGTTATTATTAGTATAACTTTAAATTTAACATAATTTGTAAATAATATAATATAATATTTTATCGAAATTTTGAATAATTTTTAATACATATTTATTTAGAACTAAAATAAATGTTGAATTTGAGATTGTCGGACAAATAGGGTCGGGCAATTGAATATTGAGAAAATGTACTGATCCCGGCTAAATATTGTTAACAACCCTCTCATGTTAAACCTTGTCAAGCGTGTTTTAGAACAAACATAAACTTTTTGACCTATTGATAATATTCAATTTTTAGTCAGAAAAGTTTACGATTGAACGATATCACTACGCGCATTGGACGCACTACGAATCACTTCGTCGCTCCATGTAACCTCTTGAGTCCAACACGGCCTTAATAAGTCTTGCGATGTCCATAAAAAATGATGAGATGGTTTTTGTATAGATTTTAGTTCGAAATTAATATTACTATTAATTTAATAAAATTCGTAAAAAAATTCTGTCAATACTTCATCCGCAGCATACGTCATAATATGTTGTTATTATTTATTTTCGAAAACATACTTATACTATCAATGAACGTATGCATTTAAAAATAAATGAAAAAATTAACTCCTTGATTTACGTTGCACGGATATTTTATTATGGTTGTACGACCACCGTTACCGAACAAATATAATTTGAGTAATATATTCGTGATGCATGTTTTGTGTGTTAAATTAATATTTGTGTTTAATAAAATAAACAATTTTTTTGAACTTTTAATTTCCAGTCAAAATACTAGTATATTATTGCACATATAAATTAATTAAGATTCGCTTAAAAAAAATTTGGTTTTTTTTCTGGATCCTTGGAAATATAAAGATACAAATAGTTCATTCACTGTAATAATTATATATTTTAAGTTAGCTACTCCGATTATCATCGGTGCTTCAATATTTCAATCATTGTTTTAATGTCCTTGGTTTATTTTTAATATGTTTTAATTACAGATACAAAATGAAAATGATGGAGACGGCCGATATAGTGGTGTAATGATGTGGCCAGGTTCCTGGTTTCCGTATCAAGGCAAAAAAACCAACATTTGTAGAAGATAATAATAAGTAATATAACATTTAAATATGACCTAGGATATGAAAAATTTTTGAATTTTACTAATATTATTTTTTATACTTCTAAATGACTGAGACGTATTTAATAGACTTCTTAAAATTAAATTAATAAAGGTAGGAAATTTTAGATATTTAGGTGCAGATGTTAATGATGATACTAATAGCCACGAATAAGTTAAACTACGGCTCATCGCAAAAAAA